TTTGAAGAAGGAATACTTGAAAAGCACATTTCTTTGCAAGCAAACAGATAATGGAGTGAATGAATAGGATTGCTTAAATTATGATGGGATCAGACAAAGTGGATTGAAAATGTTATGGAGGGGATGTTGACACCTCTCTGATAATTAAAACTGAACCCCCAGAAAAGTTCACCACACCTTGTAATCTGTTAAAGGAAACGTGAAAAGTGGTATAACCTGCCTGTCACCTCCCAACCTATTACAAAGAAAAAGTGAAATAAAATGAACTCCTGACAATCACTCTACAATCAACAAGTAACTATTTATTTATCTAACTCTAACAGTTAACAAATTAACAGAACTACAAACACACTGAACAATTCCCCCTTAACTACTAACTATTCCTGAATAAAACAAAATTCTAATAGTATGCTGTTCCAAAAGATATATATATATATCCCATTTATATAAACCAAGTTAATTTAAAAAAAACTCTCAAAATTACAGGTAAGATAAGTCTTCTGGAATGTTAGTTATATTCTCTGCTGTCGTCCAGTCAGGAATGCCTTCCTCTGTTGAATTCTTGTGTCAGGAATATTAGCTAAAAGTGCCATAGTACCTTAATTTAGATGGTGCTTACTCTGAGAGCTTAGAGATTTCTTTGAGAGCCAGTGAGTTTCTCTTCAGATGGCAGTTCTCTCTCATCCTGATGTTCAAATAACCTCTTCATTTATACCCTTGATGACCGATTGATTTCTTAGAACAGGATTGGCCCTAGGTTGTCAAAGCCATCAGATTTAAATTTAATTGGTTTTTTAGTTTCTAAGTGTCTGGTTTAAATTAATTGGTTGATATTGAAACTGGTTGCCTTGCTAACAATACAAGACTACTGCCCATGTTTCCATCAGCCTTTTGATACAATGTTTCACTTTCTGGGGCTCTCTGTGCACCTGCACATTTTCTTTAAATTTCCACGCCTAGAATAAACATATCATCTTTTAAAGGGACCAAACACTCTTCCCCCTATCATTTTACAAGCATCAAATCCTAGTGCCCTGCCTTCCAATCCACAAGGACTATACCAACTTCACAACAAAATCATTTTTTTCATAAGGGCTCAGAGATCTAGAATTGGGGATGTCCGTGTGTAGTGAGTTACTCAGGAAAATGAGCGAAGAAGACTTTACCTACAAAAGTTGTGATCAGGAAAGATGGAATCGGCGAGAGGTCAGGGTTGGGGGGATTCAAGGAAAGATCATAATCATAGACAGGGAGAAGAGACCAGAGTTAGAGGAAAAGAGAGATTGTGGCATATGCTAGGGGAGGGCTGGGGGCAAGGTGCCAAGTTAGTGGTTAGGAAAAAGGGAGACCCTGGATGGAGGGAAGCAAGATTGTGGTCAGATTGGAAGAAAGATCAAGGATAAGGAGAGGAGAAAAATAATGGTCTGGAAGGGCAGATGGTTGCAGGCAGGCAAGGAGGTGAGTTAGTTGTCAAGAGGAAGAGAGAGCCTGGAAGTGGGGGTCTTGGAGGGGGGGAGAGATATCGGATCGAGGCGGGGGTAAACAAGTGAGATTGTGGTTGGTAGTTAACTAAGATAATGTTTGAAAGGAAGAAAAGGTAATGAGGTGAAGATTGTGGTTAGGTTGGCTTGTGAACATGGGGTGACTTTGTGGCAAGATATCATGGTTAAAGTAGATAGCCTGGAAATGTTGCGTCAGAGTTTGCTGGGAAAGATTGCACAAAATTAAAGAAGATTGAAAACACAGGAGGGCTGTGGAGGTAGGAGGGCAGAGCAGTCTGGGAAGAGATTATGTTCATGGGTAACAATTGCCATTGGGAATCAATAGAATTAATGTTACAGTAGAATAACAGCATGTTATTCTAGTCATTTAGTTTGTCTCCAGTGCCACCTTATTTTTAATATTTTGTAATTATCTCTCTGCCTCACTTATTTGGATTATAGGTCATCCCTTTGCTGGTTATTCAGCTGTTGACACATTACTCACTGTCTAACACTCTTGGTCACCTGCAGAGATTTATCATTTAACACTTCACTCAGACCAGTTGTATGATCTCTCTCTGCTTATAAACTATGGGTTTGTGTGCTCTGCTCTCTTACTGCACCTGATGAGAGGGTTACGCTCCTAAATCTTGTGTAATTTCAAACCTGTTGGACTATAACCTGGTGTCATGTGACTTCTGACTAGATTCTCCTGTAAGAGGAGATATCTCTCTACTTCTGCCCTGTGCCTGAAGATAACATAGGTTTCAGTCAAGGCACCTCTACTTGTGTAAACACAATGGAGGCAGGTGTAGCCAGTCTAACCTTTACTCATGAGATAATCCTTTCCTTCTGTAACCTTCCCTGTCACTGTCAATCATTTCCCATAATAGCACCTTTCCCTTTGGCCCTGACTGTATTCTTTGATTTACCCCATCTTTCCAAATTTGATCCTTGTCCCCATTGTTTTGTTTAAAATCCTGCTTAGTTATGTAGTTGTCAAGAACAGCTGCAGCACAGTCAGGTGGAGACAGTCCCTTCTGTACAGATACCTCTTTCCCCAGTACTAGTGCCACTGCCCTAGAAGGCAGAACCCACTTCTCCCACATCATTATTTCAGCCAGGAATTAATCTCTCTAATATGATTTGGCCTATGCCAATTTTTAAGTGGCTCAGGTAATACTGTAGGGTGTTGCATTTGTGGGTCAACTTCGTAATTTGGTGCCTAGTTCTTCATACTGATTATGTAGAACACCCTCCCTTGTCTTACCTATGTTGTTCTACCTGAATTGATTACATCAATTGTGTCCTCACCTTTCCACTGTATGTTCCTCTCCATCCCCGAGCAGATGTGCCAAACCCTGTCTAGATTCATGATGTTTGGTGCAGAGAACAGTATCAATCCCCCTCATTAGACTTTTACTTTTCTGAAATTCATTCAGTAGATGTGAGATTCGTTGGCTGGGTCAGGATTTATAGTTTATCTCTAGTTGCTGTTGAGAAGGTGGTGAGCTCCCTCTTGAATTACCATAGTCCATTTGCTGTATGTGGACCCACATGTCATTAGGGAGGGAGTTATAGGAATTCGATCCAGTGACACTGAAAGAACAATGACATATTTCCAAGTCAGGATGGTGAACGGCTTAGAAGGGAACTTGCAGCTGATGGTGTTTCTACGTATCTGCTGCCCTTGCCCTTCTAGATGTTAATATTTGTGGATCCATGTCCTGAATAGTGCTAAGCTTCTTGTGTTCAAATTGAACTCATCCAGGCAATTTCATTACACCCCTGACTTGTGCCTTCTAGATGGCGGACAGACTTTGGGTGGCCAGAAGGTAAGTTAGTCATTGCACAATTTCTAGCCTCAATCTGCTCATAGCCACAGTACTTGTATGGTTAGTCCAATTCAATTTATGGTCAGTGGTAACTATAGAACCTGAATAGTGAAGGATTCAATAATAATGATACCATTGAATGTCAAGGGGTGATGATTAGATTCTGTCCTGTTGGAGCTGGCCATTGCCTGGTACTTGTTTAGCACAAATGTTACTTGCTGCCTGTCAGCCCTAAACTGGATATTATTATAAAGCAGAGGTTGACTCTCCTCTGAGAATTAACGCCAAAACCCCCAAAGAGGAGCACCTTGCCCTATAATCTGTAAAAGGAGTGTGAAAAGTGGTGCAACCTACTTTTCAGCAACTTCTAGTGGTAAAATAAAATAAATCCCTAGCACTCACTTTACAATCAACAAGTAACAATTTATTTATCTAACTCTAACAGTGAACAAATTAACTGAACTATTAACAAACCAAATAAATCCTTCCGAACTATTAACTATTCCCAAATAAAACAAGATTCTAATGGTATGCTGCTCCAATAAATATAAATCCCACTCATATAAAATAAAAAAAAACATAGAATTTAGACTCTTGAAATTATAGCCAGGTTACCTGTCTTTTGGAATGTCCTGTGCCTTCTCTGTTGAATGTTCTGTCAGGAATGCCTTCTCTGTTGATTCTTCTGTCAGGAATATTAACTAGCTTTGCCATTGGTACCTTTAATATTTAGATGGTGCTTTCTCTAAGGCATAGAGGAGGCTGTGAGCCAGTGTTTCCCTCTTGAGAGCTGAGGGCTTTTACCTCTGGTGGATGATAGTTAGCTCTTACAGATGGCAGTTAGCTCTCTGCTCTTTGTCCAACTTCCCCCTTCTTTTATACCCTTGATGACATATCAATTTCTTACAATAGGATTGGTCTTACATTGTCAAAGCCATCAGATTTAAATTTAGAGATAGTAGGAACTGCAAATGCTGGAGAATCTGAGATAACAAGGTGTAGAGCTGGATAACACAAAGGGTCTAGGCCCAAAACATCAGCTTTCCTGCTCCTCTGCTTAGCCTGCTGTGTTCATCCAGCTCTACACCTTGTTATCTCAGATTTAAATTTAATTGGTTTTTAGTATCTAAATGCCTGATTCAAATTGATTGACTCAGTTCAAAACTTGTCTTGGTAACAAAACAAAACTGCTGCTTGGCTTGCTGACTGTATGGCCTTTCGATACAAATGTTTCAATTCGAGTGCTGTCTGTGTACTTGCAAGTCTTTGAGATGCTGCCCACAAACACCCATCTTTAAGCAGAGGAAAAACACATCATCTTTTAAAGGGACCATGCAATGCTCCTCTCCCTCCCCCTAGCATTTTACAAATACCAAATTCTAACTTCCTGCCTCCCAATCCACAAACACTCTACCCAACTTCGCAACAATATTGTCTAGGATTTGTTGCATTTGGGTAAGAATTGCTTCCATATTATTCAGTACCTTACTACCATTACTTTGCTTCTTATTCCACCCTTTTGAATAGCTTCCCTTACCATGGTGCCACAGTGAGTTTGCTCATCCATCTTACAGCCCTCACACTCATTCAGAAAGTTGAAAGAATCTTAATCCTGTTGAACTATTGCAAAGGTTGAGGCTTCCACACTCCTGATCTCTGTGTTCCCTTACCACCTCTCTTTCAGTCACACTGTCCTGTCCCTGAACATTGGCTGAATCGGATGACCCATTGGCTGAATCGGATGACCCCAGTCTAAGAGATGAGGCTGCCTTTTGATACAATGAATCAAGGTACTTACTGCCTGCCTAATGTATCAGTGTATAAAATTCAGCCTCCAGCTCATAAATTCTGAGCTGGAGACTGCTGAAACTACAAACAGTTGCCACAGATGTGTTTGTTCTGAACTAAACTGACATCTGGGAACTACCATGTGCTGCAACAATGTCACATCAGCTATCCTGTAATTCTTAATGTGTTCTAAGAAACTGCTTAATGTGTTCTAAGAAACTGCTTAATAATTTTAATTGAGTTTATATTTAGATATGTTTTTGTATGACTTATTAATTCATGATCCGTAGCTATCCTATGTTGAACCTTAGGAATAGAATAGACTGCAGTCACTTACCAGAAACTCACCAAGTGACTGGCTTTTTCTCCTGTACCAGAATAAGTTTAGATTTCTGACACTAAAAGTGAATAGGAAAAGTAAAAGCAACAGAACATCTCTTTCCTTGCCACCCCTTAAATCACTTAGCATATTAGCTCTGACACTCTATTGTAAATCGTGCACAAGAAACTCAAGGATAGATGAAGACTATGGTTTGAAGGGAGAGCTATTGTGCTTGTTGCAAGGAGGGGTTTGTGATAGGCGAGTGCGAAAAGTTGTGGTCAGCATGGAATAAAGAGATCATGGTCAACTGTACTCCCTCAAAATTGCATGAGTGTATAGCCAAGCACAATTGGGATTGTGCTGCACAGGGCCAGAAAGCCACACACGTGTAGCATTTCCTTTAAGAAGCTCGTATTGATGGTAGAGTATCAATCTCAACTGGACCACATAATGTGACTTGTACATGGCAAACTCAACTTGGAGGGAACATGGATAGTCAGTGGGGTGCATGTTACCGGGAAAATGCAATTAGTTGAATGCCAATCTATTTTTGTCAGAAGGTATCCTTGAAATATTCAAATTTATTACACTTAAATGAATAAAATCATTTTCTATTTGTACATGCCTGTAAAAACCCACAGACCAGAGACTGATCAGCACTTCTGCCAGCCAGGCACTAGGTTCTTGTGCAGACTTGGGTCACAGAGTTTGGTATTCTGCCAATTTAGGCCATGTTTGGAGTTGGTGGAAAATCTGCATCCAGCAAGCCTGCAGGAGTTGGTGTTAGTGATTAAAAGCTTACTGAAAATTTATGTATTCTGTAATATATTTTGTAGATATAGCTTTAAAGTAACATAGTTGATAAAACTAAAATATTAGAGGAAACGATGTCCGGAGATACTTCTCTGTATGGTTACAATACAGCACATGTGCTTTCAGCCTATTTTCTAGACATTCAAGCAAAATCCCATCCAAATTATATTTGGAGTACTCTAGAGATGGCATTCATGCAGTTCAAAACAATAAATATTTAACATGATTGAAGAACTTAAATGCAACAAACCATAGCAAGCATTAAAACAAAATACTATATATATATCATTGTACTGTCTTAATGAAGAGTTGAAAAATGTAATCTTTGTGAGACAACACATATTAAACTGCTCTTAACTCTTGAGTTCTAGGTGTAACTCTGGTGTTCAGTAATTCCATACATTCTGTGAATTTTCAGTTTTTTAATCAGCAGTTATTGGACGGCTGGAATGCAATGGTCAGGAATAGAGATTATGTTATTAAATTATTGTGACACCAAGGAATACTTGTTATGATATTTTTGGGGAGCACTGAAGGAGACAAGTGCAGGAGGGTGATGGTGATCAGATAGCCTGTAATGCAGGTAGAGCACGTTAATTCAATATGGCCCATCACGTTTGCAGTCGTTAATTGAGCATTTTAAATAGGTGCCAGTCTCCCACCTTTTCCTCTGTAACCTTGCACATTGTGTTTATTTAAAGATTAATTCAAGGTTCTCTTGAATACCTCCAGCACATTTCTGGGTGTTGCATTCCAGACTTTAATTACTCGTGTGATTTTTTTTTTCCTCACCATGCATTAGTTTCTTTTGCAAAACAATTGAAAACTACATTTTCTAGTTCTCGATCTTTTTATGAGTGGGAATAATTTCTGCCTATCCACTCTTCCTAGACCTCTCATGGAAAACCTCCATCAAATCTCTTCTCAACATTCTCCTCTCCAAAGATAACAGTCCCAACTGTTTTCTGAAGAAGGGTCCTGACCTGAAACATCAGCTTTCCTGCTCCTCTGATGCTGCCTGGCCTGCTGCGTTCCTCCAGCTCCACACTTTGTTATCTCTGACTCCAGCATCTGCAGTTCTTGTTATCTCAGTCCCAACTTCTCCAATGTTTTCTCATAACTGAAGTGACTCATCCCTGGAACCATTCTCATAAACCTCTTCTGTACCCTCTACATTCAACCCCTGCATTCACACTATTCCTACAGTGTGGTGCGCAAAACTGTGTACAGTACTCCAGGTACGTTCTAAGAAGTGACTTATCATCATCAGTCATTATCATCTCCCTGCCCTTGTAACATTAGGAACTCATTTCAATTTTTTTTTCCTCAGTTGGGAGCCAGCCAGATTTGGACCACTGTTAAAGGTAGGATTTTTCCAGGAGTTGGCAATGGATCATTGTAGACAGATATATCGTTGTATTTTAGCTTCAGGTTGGGGTGATGCACTCCTGCTCCTCCTGGTCCATATGCAGTATTGGAAATGTACTTGGCTGCTGGATCAGCCAATATTGCCAATGCTCCCAAATCCTTAGGAAACAGAATTAAATGCAACAGTCTGTTCAAAAATGAAGGAACACAGCCTCGTATTCATGTTAAATTACTGATGACCCTCCTGAGGGCAGATTAGATTCCCAAGCCGCAACATTTGTCAGTTAAATTTGAAGTGGGCGAAAGTGCTGGCAATTTTTATGATTTAACATCACCACTCTTCCTTTCATTCTGGAGGAGTTGCTGCCTGTTGATTTATGAATACTGCAATAAAGATTGTTGTGCAGCAATAAAATAATATAGTCGATTGGCACAAACATAAAAGTAGTAGAGTACAAAATGTCATCTATTATTAAAAGCTGTTCAAAGTGTGGAATAGAAAATATGAAATATGGAACATGTAAAATGCCAAATAAGAGAATTTAGTAAACCGACAGAGGAAGTAAGAGAATAAAATAGCACTTTGCTGTTATGTATCTTAGAAATGTTATTGTTCGTGAAGATTTGTGAGTCATCTCAGCAGCAACAATAGCGTCAGGAAATTATTCATCAGTTTTAAGTAGAATAAGCTTTGTAAAGATAGCTGATCAATTATAAATAGTTAGAAAAAGCAATTGAAGTCTCTCAGCTAAAACTATTTTAATGATTTTGATGGCCCAGACTTTCTAGTCAGTATCAATGTTAAGTCAGTGCCACTGCCAGCAAAGATTTGGTGATTTCAGTCTTTTCTGTGGAAGACTGATGAATGTAGAAGAAGACAGACAAAGAGACAATACACCGCCTTCTTAGAACATTAAGAGTTGTATACCAGTGTTGATTTTTGAGGGTTATTTTCACAGTTACCTAATACTGACAACTTTTAGAAATTTTCTGACACTTTCTTGAGTTTGTTAAGAAGCAGCAGTTTAAATATGATACATTAGGTAAAGAGATAAAGGAAGTATTTAATATTGACAATTGGCGATGGTTCACTGATTCCAGAGGACAAATAAGTTGTTGGTTTCATTAAAATTTGGTGGGCAGTATCCTGCTCTGTAGACAAGGTGTGAGGAAACTCTTCCAAAGTCTTCCTCCTCTTCTTCTGGTCTATCTTCCATCGAGAGAAAGCAGTTTTCTCAGGACTACACAATGAGGACTGCTGCCTGGAGGGTCTGCCTGATGATGACTGCTCATGAGGACAATTTCCCTTCCTCCACTACTCCTGAACACTTGTTAGACCATATTTCTAGGAACATGTAAATTACGCTATGTCAACTAATTGTCTGGACCCCTTTGACCAATGACCATGCACAGCAATTTAAGACATCGAATGACTGTTGTTCCCTTGCCAGCTTTCATCATTGCTCATTGTCTGTGATATATTGCAGTTGTGAAGATACTATGGCACTAAGAGATGTATTTTGTCCTTTTTTCATGAAGAGAGGTGTAGAGCAGTCTGCTCCCAGCCAATAAAGTAAACAGCTTGTAAACCCTTGGATCAGAGATAGTAGGAACTGCAGATGCTGGAGAATCTGAGATAACAAGGTGTAGAGCTGGATGAACACAGCAGGCCAAGCAGCA